CAACGACGACGCCTTCTTTTTATTATGTTTGTACAAAGTGGGAATAATGCCATTACAAAAATGTTCCACCATTTCTGCTGGGTTTTTGCAACTTTTTTCGTAGAGAGGTTTGTTTTTCTCATTGTTTAGTTGTTCTTTTCGTATATCTACGTCAGCGTTACTTAGAAATAACTACCTAATCAGATGTTTGCATTTTCGTTGACGTTATAGAATTGTTTAAGTTAGTATCTCTCTACATAGGTATATGTGACACATCACAGCGTGCTTCATCAACACTTCGGAAAATTCGAAAACGTAATATTTCTTTTTTTTATGTTGTGATTATATTTTTTTATGTTGTGATTATATTTTTTTTATTGGATGAATTTACCAAAACCATTCAAAACCGCTCCAACTGTAAGCTAAGATATGCAGTATATACTACGTAAACACCGAAACACTGAAGTTCGGCACGTCATCAGGGACATGAATGACTGTCTTCGATCCCATAACGAAATAAATCAGAAGATATTATTTGAGGTGAAGAAAAACTTTTTTCTATTTAAACGTTACCAAAATATAATGTTACTTTGATATGTAGCACCAGCTAAAACTTAAAATACTTAGTAAATATTTTGTTTATTGTATATTTGTCTATGAACATACAGAACGAGTAGAAGAGTTTATTCCACTTTCCTCAATGAATTTAAGTCCCCTTCAGCCGGGGTTGCGGGGTAAGCGCAATGAGGCACCGCGACCTCGGCCCAGAGCAGGAGAAGGAACAGGGGGGTTTTTAGTCAGTAAGAGTCTGACACTCCCTCCCGCCCTGCCCTGGGCGGGAGAAGGCATTTGATGATTTTCCCCTCACAAAAAAAAAAAATTGGTAATTCTGGATCATAAAATATTCCATTGATACGAATGTAATAACTGGTAGGCGCATACACATAAGTAAGTATGTAAGGAGATATAGTTGGTATATTTTATTACTTCTGGAATGCTGGATATGTCAAAATCCCGTAAATAAAAAATATTCATAAATATAAAATTATTTTATTAGGCCCACGCCCTCACACACGACATTCAATCAACACGAAAATAAAATCATCACATTACGCCTTCATAAGGACCCTTTCTTTGACCTCCTACTCGTAAATTCTTTCATTGAATACCCTACTTTTATTTCAATTCCTGGGTTCTTTTACGAGGTTCATCGTCCTCGAGACATTGGTCTTGTAAACAAATAAATTCGAAGGTTACGATCATCGTAGTAATGAAGTCATTACTACGGAATTAATGATTTTATTTACTGTTTTTCTGAAAGAAGGAACAAAGATGAAAGTTTTCTGGAGATTTCCATGGGTTTATTATGTTCAAATGGCCTATATAGGCACGTATCGAATAGTCGTTCAATCAATCAGCTAGCCCTTTGATCGCAGTATAATTTGAGTAGCTGTTTTTTTGCAATCCGATTTGAATTCTAGCATAACCTAACCCACCATTCGGATAGCAATTCGGTTTTCATAACTATCTATTCACCCTTCAACTAATAGCCTGAATGAGAAATTTAGCCATTCAATGATACGATTATTCGTTAAGGCAATTTTTGGTTATACTACTCTGTCAAGAAAGTACCGGGAAAAAGTCAATAATACACAAAATGTTTGTTATTCATCTAAATTTATTTTATCACCTTCAAAGTATGCTCCTTCAGAAACGATACACTTACGCCAACGAATAATCCAATCATCGAAACTTTTTTTAAACGCTGTTTCCGGAATTGAGTTCAGTGCTCGCCGCGAATTCTCCTTTATGTCTTCTAACGATTGAAAACGGGTGCCACGAAGGGGTAATTTGAGTGTGGGAAAAAGAAAGAAGTCGGCTGGAGCCATATCTGGTGAATATGGTGGCTGCTCGATGGTGTTTGTTGAGTGTTTGGACAAAAAATCGTTTACAATGATGGCCTTGTGCGAAGGCGCATTATCGTGATGCAAAATCCAAGAATTTTCTTTCCACATTTCTGGCCTTTTTCGTCGAATTTGTTCTCTTAAACGCCGCATAACGCTCAAATAATATTCTTTATTTACCGTTTGACCTTCGGGCAAGAATTCTGAGTGCATAACACCGCGATAGTCAAAGAGAACAGTCAACATGACTTTGACTTTTGATCGACTTTGACGTGGTTTTTTCGGTTTTGGTTCAGTTGGAAGGCGCCATTTCGAAGCTTGTTGACTAGTTTGCATGTCAAACTCGTAAACCCACGTCTCGACACCAGTAACAATGCGTTTCATGAATGTTGGGTCGGTATTGACTCGTTCTAGCATGTCCTCAGCGACTTTCTTGCGATTTAGTTTTTGAAGAAAATTCAGGTCTTTTGGGACTAGCCGAGCGGCAACACGTTTCATACCCAAATTATATGTTAAAATGGTACGGATCGACTCGTGAGATACAGAAAGTTCGGCGGCCATCTCTCTCAAACTTGAATGAGGATTTTCAGTCACTATTTCCTTCACTTTTGCGATGTTAACTTCAGTTGCAGACGTTGATGGCCTACCAGAACGTGGCAAATCTTCCATCACATCTCGATCGCTTTTGAAAGCTTTGTACCACTCATAAGCACGTGTTTTTGATAAAGTCGATTCACCGTAAGCCTTCTGTAACATTTTGAGTGGCTCCGAACACGAAATTTCATTGGCGATGAAAAATTTAAGACAAACTCTTTGTTCGATGTTTTTGTCCATTATGAAATTCGCAATACACACTAGATATTATAAAACTAAAAACAGCACTGTTTTTAATATAAATAACAGATGCAACTCAAATTCCGCGCCAAAATGGAAAACAGTTATGCCAATCTAACAACAACAAAAAAAAAAATTAAAATTCGAATTTGGAACCATAAAAAAACATTCATTCCCGATACTTTGTTGACTGAATGTATACCTAATTCACTATTTGGCACAATTTTGACCTCCTTTTCATCTGTTAAATAAACAAAATTGCGCCGATTTAAAATTTTTTTTGTCAAAAATATCCATTTTGGAAAATAAAAAAAGGGATTTATCAAAACTGGTTCCAAGAAATCGTGATTACGGACTAAAGCGAACAAATATCGAATACTTTGGACAACCCTAGAGCATCGGACGGTGTCGATAATTTCAGGTGTGCTGCCTAGAAACCGGATTTAGCCGATAAAAATACTGACTTCCGCAATTATTGAAATGAAATTGTTTATCATTAAAACCTAAACTAATTTGTCACATCTCTGTGGCAACGTTTAAAAATACCATTATCTTGCTTAATGATGTCATACGGCACTGTTCAGGAAATTGACAACAGATTTTTTTTTATATTTAATGTTACAAAAAATAATGCTTCTTTATCAACATTTATGTGCATCCCTCATTCCCATCTTAAAGTTATTGTTTTGACGGCTATAGTTTTTACACGGGATGGTAAGTAAAGTTTTAAGTCTATTTTCCCTTAAAAACGATATTCTTCTTTAGTATTCCAGTAATTTGAAAAAAACTTAAAAAATAAGTGTGGGAGAGCCATGCTTCGGCACGAATGGGTCGGCTCGACCGGAGTGATACCACGGCCTCACAGAAGACCGGCGTGAACCACAGCGTTGTTTCGCCGTGTGAGTGAGGTTACCGGAGGCCCAATCCTTCCCCGCCCCCAATCCCTCCTCAATCCCTAAATCTCCAAATCCCTAATCCCTAAAAGGTCGGCAACGCACTCGTAACTCCTCCGTTGCGGGTGTCCATGGGCGGCGCTGATTGCTTACCATCAGGTAATCCGTCTACTCGTTTGCCGACCAATTACATAAAAAAAAAAAATCATCAACATCAACCATCCTCCTCCTCCTCCTCCTTCCTGTCATACAGTTTTCCCTCTTATCCTCTTATACTCTCAGGACAGTTCATAATCACTGACATCTGCAACCAACCAACCAACGACTTGAGTATGCGCAACTCCCTAGCCAATTTTTATGTCAGGGTGCAGCAAAGTTTGGTTTTTAACCCCCGACGCAAAAAGAGGGGTGTTATAAGTTTGACGTGTCTGTCTGTCTGTCTGTGGCATCCTGGAGCCTGAACGGGTGAAGCAATTTCAATTTAGTTGTTTTGTATTAAAGGTGACTTATGTGCTAGTGTTCTTAGACATGTTTGAAGAAAATCGGTTGAGCCGTTTAGAAGTTAATTGGGGGGGGGGGGTAGGAGGGGAAGGCTAACCGAAGGTCTGAAAATATACTCGAATGGGGACTCAAATGAAAGCGCACTGAAAGGGAATGTTGATGACTTAATCGAGAGAAAATGATATAAAATACCTATAAAAAGTATAAAATAAAAAATAAATTAGACCCCGACAAAATAGAAATATGTAGTTGATAATAAAATGTTTGGATCGGTCCCCAACGCCACGTTTTCTTTTAATTATTAGTTTTTAAAGGAGTATTAGATTTTTGTTGGGGTTTTTTTTTTAAAATTTATAATTATTGGTAATGGATTTTTAGATCTTATTATCTGCATTATAGTATACTAGCATCCGCCCGCGGCTTCGCCCGCCTCACAGAAATATAAAAAATCCTATATCTATGGCCTGCCTGGTATGTTGATAAAAAGTAGCTTATGTCCTATTTCGGAGTGAATCCTACGCCGTTTTGACGTGATTGAGTAACAAACATCCAAACATCGTGATCTTGCATTTATAATATAAGTACGAAGTAAGATTGATTAATTACAATAAAAAATGGAAAGACCGCCATTTTTTTAAAATAAATTTTGGTCAAACATGAAATGAGGATGATGATCCAATATAATACAATAGTTTAAGAAGATTCTTTTTGTTTGTAAGAAAACAATAAATCCAAAAAAATTACATAACAGTCCATCTATTGAGACTAATACTTTATGATATGAAGTGAATGACTCACAACAGAATTAACCCAAATTTGTTTGAATGATAAGATAACAGTTCTGTTTATTTATATACTGATACAAATACAGTAATCAGTTATTGTGTAGTGTTCACTACACTGTGGTGGTGTCAACAGACCATCAAGAATTTTACAGAAATAAATTCTTTACAAAAAACAAAAATATATCTATAGATATCACCATGTCTCAACCTCTCAAAGTTTGGTCCAAATTCTCAGTAACCAAAAAAGATGGCAGTGTTCTCAATTTACGTATTGTTGATATGCCCGAAGATGTGAAGGTAGTGGAAAAAGTAATAGACTGCTTTTTAAATTATTTTGTAAAAGAAGAATGCACATTTAAAGCGGCAGGTAAGTTTTGAAAATATGTACGTTCATATAACATAAACAACTTTTTCCATAAGACCTATAACCTACGGAAATAAAAAAAATACTTCTTCACGAAAAATGATCAATCAGCTGTCGCGGTTTGTATGGGGATATACATTTATATTTGAAATTTCGATGTCGATCCCATGGTTCCGCTGGCAAAAGTTGTTTTATTTAAGTACCAGAAACAGGTATTTGAATACGTTCCTCTTTCAAAAAAACACGCAGTATATAAATAAATAATATAAGATATAAGTACATTGCATTTACAAATTTTCAATAATTATAATAAAAAAGGAAACAATGTTTATTATAGGAGTTCCAGAAAGTGCCGAAGCGATGGAGGAGTTAAAAGGTTCCGTTGGTCACATGGTCACCAATGAAAAACCAGTGTTCAGTATTTGTTGCCTTGACAACGGAAAAGACGAAATTGATGAGGTGATGGGAGCGTCACTAATGATGTACATGACAAGGGAAGAGGCAGAAAAAAAGGTAAACTAATACACACTAAAATTCTATACTAATATTATAAAGAGGTAAAATTTGTAAGTTTGTATGTAGGGGGTAATCATTGGAAAAGCTGGGCGGATTTCCAAAATTCATAATTTATTATTATTCTGTCACCGATAGATAGCTACAGTGTTCCGAGTGCTATAGGCTATAAAACATCACGCTACGATTAAATGGAGCCGAGCAGCGGGTGAAACCGCGCGAGAGTAGCAAGTATATGTGTAAATATCAATATCAATGCCACTTTTCGTTGTAATGTTATAACTCAACAATGCCTTTACCGATTTGGCTAATTTTCTTGTATCTTGAATATTTGTGGAAGTCCAGAGAAGGTTTATACTTAGAGGAAGTTAAAAAAAATCTTCATCAGTTATGTTAACGAGATGAATGCAAGCACATTTTTAAAATCTAGAGTAGAAATATTCTGGCCCAAAAATCCTACCAAAACTTTGCTTAACCTTATTTATATTGGCAACAAATTAAAACCAATAATAGGCGTAACAAAGAAATTAAAATGTAAATATTTTTAACATAAAACAAATATTTCAGCTAAATTTCGAGACAAAAGAATTGCAGAAACTAATTGAAATGAGTGACGGTCTATCAGAGATATACGATGATTTGAAGGAATTCAATTTAGATCCTTACCTCCTGGACAGAGGTATTGTTGTATGTCCAGAGTACAGAGGTCTTGGAATTGCTCAAGAACTTCTTAAAGTCAGGTTTGTTATCAGTAATTACCTTATCATACTTAGTATAAATACTTCAAGAGCTGATCTTTGGTAAGAATGAGTTGGTGCAATCGGAGTGATGAACAATGGTTCGGTTGTGGTCCAAAGGTCAGTGACTCCTATGCTATTGTATAGATTTTGTTTCAAAGTTGTACCACACTTGGATTTTCTCTTGTGTCGTGTATGCGTTTACAAACATACACATCACACACAGACACCAAATAACAATTTGAGAATTACACAAAAAGTTGTTCCCTTTCCCATTGCATGGGAACCCTTTGCCCAGCCACGGCGACCGCGTCAACTGTGCTGTCTCCAGCTTCACACAGGTGCAATGCTAATTTCTATGCATTTGTAATATATACAAGTAAGAATATAAATTAAGAGGAGGTGATTAAATCATGAGAGCCATGCTTCGACATGAATGGGCCGGCTCGAGCGGGTGATATTATGTATAGCAATAAGCCTCACAGAAAACACGTGTGAACCAAAGTTTGAGCTATGTTTCGCTATATGAGTGAAGTTACGGAAGGCCCAATCCTTGCCCCTCCAATACTTGATACATCAATCCCGCCAATTCTCAAATCTCCCAATAGGCCGGCAATGCCTTTGTCACTCCTCGATATGTGTACCTCTCTCGGCTGGCGCCTATTGCTACCGTCTGCTAATTTCATAAATAACAACTTGATAAAGCAATCGAACAATGCAGCCATACTTAAGATTGAGCAACGACTTACATATTACATTTGTTATTGTTTTCAGACGATTAATTAGCAAAGAGTTTGGTATACCTATCAACGGAGCCTGGATGACGTCATACGGCACACAGAAAGCTGCGGAGCGTGATGGCTGGGAGACTGTCTGCGAGATCCAGTATGAGGACTTGGAGAAGAAGTTCAACGTCACCTACGGGCGAAATCCACCTTCCTCTAAATTTATGATCGCTAGAATACCACTTTAAATGTTAACATTTTCATGAATCTTTTTTTCGGACGAAATCATTAAAATTATTAATAATTTTATATAAAAATATGTATTAAATTGTAATATGATAATATAATGTGAGTGCTATATTTTGATATTTTATTATTGAAATAAACTATTTTAACATGTCCATGTAATACATATTTATTACTACCTACGCGGGTTAAATAGAAAAAAGTCCTAACTCAAAAATGAGGATATTCCAAAATTGAACCTTATTATTGAAGTGTAATTTTTAAGATTGAAATACTTTATCTTTTGAGTTAGGTCTCTTTTCTGTTTAACAAGCGCTATGTTAAGGTAGTTTTAAATTTGCCAATAATAACTCTTTGAAGTAGGGGATTACATTCATTAATAATTTCTCTCGTAGTGGGTAGGGCGCGAAAGTGTTAGTCGCTCATTGACTAAAAACTATCCCGATTATACCAAGCCAAGCCGCAGCACCTACATTACTGGCCTTGTTGCACCACATGTCATAACAAAAAGTACATTTTTATAATACGTACATCTTATATGACATAATACTTATTGACGTTATCACATTTTACAACACGAAGAACTGATAAGACATTCGCTTTGCTGTTCCTCATTTCAATTCTTTTGTTTCTTTAGTGTGTTTGATAAAATTAACTTTAAAAATATATAATTGCAAAAAAAGTTTTTCAAAAATCAAACAGATCTACAAGGGATCACGATATATATTAATAGTATGCCTAATTCCAATAAAGTGTGGTCAAAATTCTCTGTGACAAAAAAAGATGGCAGTGTTTTAAAATTACGCATAATGGATATGCCAAGAGATCCCAGCGTGCAAGAGAAAGTACTTAATATCAACCTTAAGCATTTTGTATTGGAGGAGAACACTTTTGAAGCTGCAAGTGAGTTTGTTTATATTATTTATTATATATTTAGGTGCGATATTTCTATTGCCGCTACAACAACAAATTTTAAAAACAGAATAAAATAAATATTCTTTAAAATTGTTGTAATTATACAGGGTGTAAGGGACAGCCTTCCGCAAACTGATAGGGTGGATTCAGTATATCGTCTTAAGTTGACCGGTACATGAAATTATTTCAGGAACGTTATGGGAATCCAATTAAACCGATTTGTTTCATTACCTTACACGCAATGTACCTATCGCTACCACCGCAAACGCACGCAGCGAACGGCAGCGCTTTTAGTATTATTACTTTACACTATGGGCAGCGCCGCGACCTTACCTTTCGGACAAACGGTCGCGCTCGCGCCACGTTTTAATAACAATAAACTATTATTTACAAGATAGCCGCATTACTTACAAAAGACAATTTAATAATCGCGCTCGCGCCACGTTTTAATAACAATAAATTATTATTTAAAAGATAGCCGCATTACTAACAAAAGAAAATCTAACAATCATAACATGGTAACTGATAAATGATAAAAAAAGAAAAATGCGTAGGTACCTTAGAATCGCTCCGGTTTCCGGCTCTGGATGTGCCCTGTGTGTGTGCTCTGTGATGCGGTCTCGCATTTCGTACTCACTTGCACACGCACTCACAAACACTTTTTCTTTTACGTACAAAAAGGGGTCCAAATGGGTTACGTCTGGGGATCGTGCTGGCCACGGTTGCGGTCCAAACCTACCTAAACTACGTTTAAATAGGAAAGCACTGGTAAGCGGTAGCGTCTCGTTACGTTAGCGAACCAATTCTAGCAAGCAACAATGGGTTTCTAGCAAGCGTTGATAGTCACCAGTAATTATCCTGGAGTCTGATGGATGCCGACGGTCAGGATACCTACACTACTACAACACATTATCATCTCCCCATAATCACGCGCGCTAAACGTACTTAGGTAGTAATTTCGCACAATTTCTACAACAAAACTTCACTACACTTCACACACTACATAACTAATAAAACTTAACAACACTACTTATAATAAAACTTTTAAGCCGAATGCGCGAGCGATCCGTACCAACACACGCTCGCGGAACATAAACAGTACCTAACATCGCAGCAAGGCACAATGGCGAAGGCATGTGATGAGACACACACAAACATAAATCTGTTGTTGCCAATTACACGAAAATTAGGTACAAAATTTCGGGGTAAAAAATAAAAAAATATGCATGGTCGTAATTTATCATTCTGTTATTTTTTGTAGAGAAATGAATTGATTAAATCAATTTAATTCTAATTTCATTGTTTAGTTAATTTAGAATAATAAAAGTGCAGTGTGATAGAAAGCTGTGCTTCCATTCCAGGGAGATTGTGTTTAATTTCTGGCTCGACTATCAATTCATGGCTATTGTGAAGCCATGTAAATCTGTAAGTAGTTTAAAAACTAGCCAGTAATTGCTTAAAAAGAACAATCAATTAATAAATTAGGTAGTATTTGTAAATGCTTTAAAATTAAAACTAGACTAATCTTTATTTATTTTTTATTCAATTTATGTGCGCGACAAGATTTTCATTAATTGATTAATGAAAATCTCATCAATGTGATTATGAATGCAAAGGAGTTCTCAAGTTTTAGATAAATTTCGATAGTTCTAACATTTTCGTTTACAAAGGTAGAAAGGTAGAAAGGTAGAAGAGGTAACAAAAGTTAAAAGTTGGCAACACTGGTTCAATCGACAGAAAGGGACGCAGCTATTCTGTACGTTGGACGGGATCGTAGGTATTATACCTACGGCGCGCGGCGCGGCGATCGGCGCGGTGGGGCGCCGAGCCGCTGCGCCGTGACCGCGGTGCGGTGAGTTCAAACGACTCGCGCTAGGTAGAAATTGAACAGCTGATTACATGCGTAGTTCTTTAGAGAATTCACACAACCATTGCGTATTTTTTTGTTGTGTTGTTTTAGCTGTGTTATTTACATTAATGTTATTCTTCATACATAGAATGTAATTATACATTGAAATAGAGGTGTAGGAACTGAAAAAACGAAAAAAAAAATGAAAATTTTCCTGATAGAATTTTCACTGGAATATGATTCAGAATAAGGAGCTGAATGCACCCTGTTAATTTGTGGAGGGCTGTCCCTTACACCCTGTATATGTGACAACCTTCACGCTCGAATCCAAATTGTTCATCTGGGCTTTAACTTGAGTATATAAAATTTATATTCAAAAGGAAAAAAAAAATATTTTTACGTAAATTGCCTATTTTAGGAGTTGCAGAAAATGTAGAAGCAATCGAGGAAATTACTGGATTCATCATAAACATGTTGAATATGGACAATCATCATATTGTTATATGCTGCTTAGACAACGATAACCAGATAGACGAAGTTATAGGATCATCAATAATGGCCTTAACTAGAAAAGAAGATCCAAAGCCCGAGGTAAGAGGACCATAAATCATAAAAAATATTAAAAACAATTAAAATTCAAAATCGAGTATTGGTTTATATTCGGAGTTGTGGGTACAGCGATGTACCGCAGCTCTAGAGCAGGAGAAGGAACTAGGTGGTTATTAGTCAGTACGAGTCAGGCAATCTCAAAAAAAAAATCCCAGGGTGAGAGAACTCCTTTGACAATTTACCCAATCAAAAAAGCATTTCTTTAAATGAATCCATCACAGACTTACTCGGGGATCGAGAGATGATCTTCGGCCACCGTAAGCGCGGGTCTGCGGACGGCGAGTAAGGGTAGCTCGCCGCCCGACCAGAACCAGAAACGCGCGTATGGCGCGTAGCGTTCCGCGCGCGCCTCAAAGAGCCAATAGACCACCACAGACGGGGCCCTGATGCCTGATGCCTGGGCCACGGCTGATGTTCAGTCAGGGTCGATGAGTCACTGCGGCCTCGGCCCAGAGCAGTAGAAGGAACGGGGGGTTTTTAGTCAGTAAGAGTCTGACATTCTCTCTCGCTTTACCCTAGGCGGGAGAAGTCACTTGACGATTTTCCACTGACAAAAAAAAAAAAATACTTAAACTAAAATAGCTTACCAATGAACGTTGTTGCCCTTTCTCTTTTGAATTTGTATAAAATTTTGTTTAGATTCTATATAAACAAATTTGGCACAGAGATAGATTATAGTTGGAACAACAAATAAGGCTTTTTTACTCTGGAACTGTTGCAAAACGCTGAGTAAAATAGTTCTTTGTGAACTTCAGCGTGACTGGGTTCTCTTACGATTTCTGAGGAAAGATTTTGTCTGTATATATATGTATTAAATGATTTCACATTGCTGTCTTCTTTCAGGGAGGCTTCAAGACAAAAGAGTTGATGAAACTAGCGGAGATAATGAATGCTATGAGCGAAAGTTATGATGAAGTGAAGGAATTTGATCTAAACCCGTGCTTTAGTGATAGGGGGCTTGTTGTATGCCCCGACTACAGGGGTCTTGGTATTGGACAGGAATTTCTCAGAGTCAGGTTTGTGCACAATAATAGGCCTTTTAATGACTTTCTTTAGAGACCAACATTGGACTCTCATTTATAAATATTTATGATAATTTCAGACGACTGATTTGCAAAGAGTTTGGTATACCTATCAACGGAGCCTGGATGACGTCATACGGCACACAGAAAGCTGCGGAGCGTGATGGCTGGGAGACTGTCTGCGAGCTCCAGTATGAAGACTTGGAGAAGAAGTTCAACGTTACCTTCCCTAAAAATCCACCATCCACCAAATTTATGATCACTAGAATAGATCTTTAATATATTTTTTTAATAATATAAGTAGTATGAGGAATTGGAGAAGAAATCCAAAGTCACCTACGGGAGACATCCGCCTTGAACTAAATTCATGATTGCCAGAATACCATTATAAAATTTACTCGAGTAAGTTTATTTATTTATTGTTTTTCTCCTTTTCTGTGTAATTATTAACTACGTCCAAATATATTATGTAAATTTATTCCTTTCCCTGATGTCTATTTTAACATGTTTTACACATTTCACATTTTAAAACTATAAAGACATCACCAGAGGAGTTACAAGTGCTTTGTCAGCCTTGTGGAGGTTAGATAAAGATATTAGAAAGAGTGTAGGGTAACCTCATTCACACAGCTCTGGTCGAGCCGGCCCATTCATGCCGAAGCCTGGCTCTCGCACGTCTAAATGAATCAGTTTAGTTTATTTTCTAAAACTCATCCTCATTACGGAATATTGGTGCTCATTACATAGTAGTATTCAAAATTGCATGTTAACAATGTTTGTTAATAACACTTCTAATATTCAATATTTTCTAAATAATATGAACTGAGGTATAACAACAAAAAGTCATCGTGGCCTCGGCCTAAAGCAGGAGACGGAACGGGGGTGTTTTTAGTCAGTAAGAGTCTGACACTATGGCGGCTTTTAGTCTTCGGCCCAATTGAGTCGGCTCAAACGGAGTGATAACGCAGAAAACAAATAATACTGCGTTGTATTTTTCCGTATGAGTGAGGTTACCGGATGCACAATCCTTCCTCTGCCTCGATCCCTAAATCTCCAAAATCCTTGTCGCCAAAAAGGCCAGCAACGCAATTGTAATACCCGAGGTATCTTTCTCCCCCACCTTCTATCCTTAAATCCCTAATACCCCACAAGAGCCCGGTAACCCACTTATAGTAACTCATTTGGTACTACAAGTGTCCATGGGCGGCGCTGATTGCTTACCATCAGGTAATCCGTCTGCATGTTTTCCGTACTATCACATAAAAAAAGACAAAATATGTGATGAAGTTTAATTGTAATAAAATTGAAAAGTCAAAAGTAACAAAAAATACATAAGTCGATTCTCAGAAACTCATTGCGCAATGCGAAGCTCCCTCTTGAGATGACATGAAACACTATACTCATCAATATATTCTTGATATTAGACCCGGTGTAACTTCTATGGCATCGTACACAGATAACATATTCTTGTCATTTTCATAGCATTTGCATCATTAAATAATATTAATTAAGTCTTGCAAATAAATTCTACTTACAAATTGTAGAAGACATCGCTGATTATTGCTCAAAATTAACAGGTATCAGGTCGGAATAGGTCTACATTTCACAACGTTAAAATAGGTAACCAAATGTCTCAGAGAATACCCAAGACTTTCATACATTTTAACCAAATTTTTGTGCTTAAGTCTGAAAAATAATAGTAAGTATTTCCTTCCAATTAATGAAAATAACTATTAAAATGCTGTTTTACAAATTTTACTCTGATTTAGACTCGCTATCCATTTTGGTATACTGTCTAAATCAAAATACCATGGCTACCATGCTTCAATACGAATCGGTCGGAGGTCGTGCTTTATCCTGCGAGTGACGTTATCCGTCTCCGTTCCCGATTCGTCCCCAACCCTCCGAAACCCTATTCCATTTATAACTCCTTAGGAGTTGCGGACGCCATGAACGGCGCCGATTACTTACCATCATGTAACCTGTCTGCTCATTTTCCGTCACCATCAGCATCATCATCATCATCATCAGCCTTTTAGAGCTTACTGCTGAGCAAAGGCCTCTTTTCACACGAAGGTTTGAGCATTAATCACCACGCTTGCTCAAGGCAGATTGGCAATTTCAAACTTATAATTAAAAACTATAAGTCCAGGTTTCTTCATGATGTTTTCCTTCACCGTATGTCAGTGAAAAAGTCTCATTGGTACTTGCCAGGTTCCGAACCCGCACCCTCATGCATGAGAAGCGGGCGGCCTAACCTCCAGGCACTAGAAATACTCAACATCACATGAAAAAAAAAATATAGTTTGCTTCTGAGACTTTATGAGGAAACTTAAATACTATCTACTAGTCTTTCCTTAAAGATTTGTTTATTAAGATAATTTTGTATTCAATATGTACTTATATCTATCCAATCGTTTACCCATATTGAACATTCATATACTCGCTATCTTTTCAAAGTGGATTAAAACACTATATTTATAGTATTACGTATCAAAATTTTCTTAAAATCGAGTGGTAATGAACTTTATTATAGTACTTTAAGGACCATTTATTACTGGGAAAACTAAATTATCAAAGTTGTATTCTAGCGATCATAAATTTAGTGGTAGGTGGATATTTCTCGTAGGTAACGTTAAACTTCTTCTACAAGTCTGAGAACTTGACTTCGCAGACGGTTTCCCAGCCATCACGCTCTGCGGCTTTCTGTGTGCCAGGTGACGTCATCCAGGCACCCGTGATAGGTATACCATACTCCTTGGAAATAAGTCGTCTGAAAACAAATAAGGTTATTTGAGAATTCCGTGAAAAGTGTCTAGGATAAAATGACATAAAAACAGAAAGAAATAAAACTTATTTAACTTTGTTATGAAAAAGTAAGGTATAATTATACTAAAAACCAACCTGATTCTAAGAAGTTCCTGGGCAATACCAAGACCCCTGTACTCCGGACATACAAAGACTCCTCTGCAAAGGAGGTAAGGATCTAAATTGAATGCCCTTCTATCGTCATAAATCTCCGCTAAATCTTCTGCCATTTGAGAAACTTTGTTCAATTCTTTTGCCATGAAAGTATGCTAGAACAAACAATTATTAAATGCATTACATCGGTAAAGTTAAAGAGTTTTATGTTACTTGAATAGATTTTTCTGTAACACAATAATATATGAGACGCCTCTGTTGTTGCATGTGCACTTGGGTGATGTATAGAGCCTGTTTTAGATTGTTTTTAGTACAAAATTTTTACCAGACTTTTATGCTTTTATCAGGTTGGTCAATGAATCCCAGGGCTATACATTTTAAGGGCACATTTTTATGCATTTAGAGTTAAGTCAAAAAGCTTGGTATTTATGGTCTTACTAAATTAACGTGCACTGATAATTCCACAGTAATCAGTCAGTCAATCAGGAAGAAATCTGCTTAAAAATTTTGTTCCAAGATTCGTAATCTATAAGTAAAAAATAAATAACAAGGGTCACAAATTTGACAAAACTTTTCGTTTCTGAATATATCTTAAAATGGAAGTTTAGAAATTCAGTAGGTGGTTAGCATTAAATGAGCATATAGTCAGTGTAATTACCTTTTTTGTTTCATCGGCCTTTGTTTGGAGCACTAGTAGTGATGCACCTATAATGTCATTAATCTGATCATCTTCAGTATCTAAGCAACAAATGCTAAACTCAACTTTTTTCTTGTTCGCAGGGTTCATTGAGTAATCAAAGACCGCTCTTAACTCTTGCATAGCTTCTTCACTATCTGGAACTCCTAAAATAGAAATACAAAAAAATGTGACTGTTTTTATTTTATTTATTTTTTGTGAGGGGAAAATTATTAAATGACTTCTCCCACCCAGGGTAAGGGAGAAAGAGTGTCAGACTCTTACTGGCTAAAACCCCCCCCGTTCCTTTTCCTGCTTTAGGCTGTGGTGCCTCATTGCGCTTACCCCGCAACTTATTCTTAGTCTATTGGCACTTTAAGGCGCCGAACTAAAATTCTGACTGTGGCGTTATAACAAAACAAAAGTCTGTAAAAAATAATATTTATCAACTTACCCGCTGCCTTGAATGTACGTTCTTCTTTAATGAAATAATTAAAGAAGTAGTCTAGTGCTTTTTCTAACAACTTTGGATCTTTGGGTATGTCTACGATACGTAAATTTAAAACACTGCCATCTTTTTTGGTGACTGAGAATTTGGACCACACTTTGAGAGGTTGAGACATTTTTATTTTATTAAGCGTTTACCAAAAGATTGGATACTATTACTGTCACTAAAACAATGTAATGAACACTGGTATCACACACACAGTGTTTGTATCAGATTATAAGTAGAAAAGAACTGTAATCTTATCAGTAAAAATATTTGGTGTTTATTAATACTGTCCTGAATCATGTACTAGAAATCTTTGTCAAGTACCTAACTATCTAAATATTAATATCATCATCTGTTTCGAATAATATTATCTTTTGTTTTAATAGATAATTATGTATCAAACAGTAGGTAATGCAATGATAAAAATGTCATTCGATTTGGTATTTTATTATTTTGATAAATTTCTTCATGTAACTGTTCGACAGGGTACCTCGACTAGTTTCGATTCAGGACAGGGCCCATAATTCCAAGCAGTATATACGATAACCGACGCGCCGAGCAGTCTCGTTGACCAATACGTGGATAAAACGATGTAAAAAACGTACAATCTTAATTGAAATTTGCAGCTTACTCCTATAAACTGTCGGGGTCAAATAATAATATATCAAACCACACTACCAGGCGAATGTGTTGACGTAGCAACCGCGAAATGACTTCGATCCTGGATACTGCCACTCATACCTACTGGATAAAAAAATAAGATAAAATATAATGCGGTTAAATATTTCTGTTTATTATTTATATATAAACTTGTTTATACATACATTTAAGGAAATAGTAGTACGATAATTAATAAAAACAAAGTAAACAAGCATGTTTAATACAAATATTAGACATTCACATTGCCATAAAGCTGCCATCTTCTGGTCTTCTGGGAATGTTCCCGGATAACAGTGATACGGGTGAGTTATTTGACGCAAGTGTATCGGTTCCTTTTCCCGCTATTTTAAATTTAAATTTTAGTTCATTTTAATATGTTCATAAAACATTACTTATTATTATTAAAAAATATATTAAAGAGCTACTCTAGCGATCATAAATTTGGTTGAAGGTGGATTTTTAGGGAAGGTAACGTTGAACTTTTTGTCCAAGTCCTCATATTGGAGTTCGCAGGCAGTCTCCCAGCCGTCACGTTCCGCAGCTTTCTGCGTACCGTATGACGTCATCCAGGCTCCATTTACTGGTATGCCGTACTCCTTACAAATTAACCGTCTGAAAAAGAAATATCAACTAAAGTATAAATACTTAAGTGTGGGAGAGCCATGTTTTGGCAGGAATGGATCGGCTCAACCGGAGTGATACCACGGCCTCATAGAAAACCGGTGTGAGACATTGGTTGTCTCACACCGGTTTTCTTTCGCATTGCGTTTCGCTGTGTGAGTGTAGTTACCGGAGGCCCAATACGTCTTGTGCCCCAATCCCTACCCAATACATAATCTCCAAAGTCGTTACGCCTCTGTTGTTACGAGTGTCATGGGCGGCGCTGATTGCTTACCATCATGTTATCCATAAGAAAACGTCAAACTTGAATAAAAATTTGTACAATGTTCATAGCAATAAATTGTTGAAACGTCAATGTACTATCAGTGTCATAAGTGCATGGAGGATTCCAAATCAAAATCGTTTGTACGGCGTTTCATCGCCTTAATAATATACAATGGATGCCATAGATGGCGCTAGTATACTAGTGGTATTGAAAAATATACATTTATAGTTTTTATCAGATACAAAGTTATTACCTTAATAAATTTTTACACCAATTAATGCTACGATATTCCAAACCTTTTTAAGCAAAGCACGCAATAACCAGGATTCGAACTCGGTAGCATAAAATTTACCGAAGCCACTAGCCATTAGGCCATTGCGTAACCTTGAAACAAATTGAAATTATACTACTCTTTATTATATTGAAGTTGTTTAGCAACTTTAACCCGATCACAAATCTCAAAACAGTTGAGGGTAATTTAATATTAACTGTATAAAAATTAAACCTTTTTGTTCAATCATAACATTCTTTACTATCTTTGAGTGAGTTCAGTTGCAATTTGTTTAACAAGTTTTTAATATTTATTTTTATCATGAGTTTGCGTTCAAATATTGATATGGCTACGAGGGCCCAATTAATAGCATTGCATAATCAAAGCTTAAATTATACTGAAATTTCGAGAGAAACTGGCTTAAACGTAAGTATTCTTTTAAAATGACCGTTCGTTATTTATTTTATTATCCATGGTTATCGATACATGAAAATAATAAATAATACACGTCCCTTACAGGTAAAGACTGCCACTTTATGGATATCTAAAGCTGTTTCAAGAAGAGGGTTCATTGGAGCACCGTAGTGGATATGGCAGAAAACGTGATATTGACTCAGACCAGCTTCAACTTATGGGGCAAGGTTATGAGGAAAATTACTGGAGCAATGTCATCTTCAGTGATGCAAACAGTGAAAACTACATAGATGTGCTGAATGACGTCATGAAGATGTGCTAGTGATAACGTTCAGGACAGTGCAGGACAATTGTCCTATGTGTTATGTTCCATAATTGTGCAAGTGTTTAGTCAGCAATCAGACATACGGATTATTCCTTGGCCAGCGAGATAGAAGAAATAGGATCGATAAAAATGGCGGCTACACTAGTTCTTAGAAGAAAAGATATTGTTGACTATAGTGTTGGTGACAAAACATACATCGCGCCGTGAGCTACTGCGATGACCCGAGGACGTCAGCGGCTTGCGGGGAGCGGGGGACGAGGCGCCGCGAGTTGCCGCCGCCCGCGCCGCTACAAAACGCTCGACCATTCACTCATACGACACGGAACATAAGCGCGCGTTCTTATTATTCAATATACGAACCTACATATATTTACAGTCCGCTATTTTATTTCTACCACCCCTGAGTATCGCAAACAATAGGATTAAGCAATTACAAGACCGGGGTAGCTATAATTTATTTAATGGATAAAATATGTTCAAACTTAGTGTTAGTAGGATTTTATTGACTACTTTATAACCAGCAACTGTTATTTACAGTAATGATTTTAATGTTTTACTGAATATGAGAAATAAAAATAAAAGCAATATTAATATCTACAGATGCTATTGATTGCAAAATAATAAATTATTTATTTATTAATTACTATAAACAATTCGTCCCACATCTAATGAATGCTATATCCCGGTCTTAGAAATGTTATTGATTTAAGGTCTAGCTTCAATTTCTTCCTTGTTCTGGAACGAATACTTAAGCTATGAGCCTTTGTCATAACATGATGCACAAAATGAATCATTAATAAATATATTTATTCAATAATAAAATTTTATGGGGAGGTAAAATAGTTGCAGAAGTAAGGTTGCATATTATATAGAATCGTATTATAACATTTTGTTTAAAACCAACTAATAAATGACTAGCACAACACAATTTTGATTTAAAATACTTATTAATCTTATAAAAAGTGTATTAAATAATGTGTCAGTTAGCTGAAAAGTTATTAGGTTAGGGTATACACTATATAAGAAGGAAATAAATATTATGTTTTAAGAAATAAATGTCTGAAATTATAATGTCACTAAAATAGTTTTATTTGTTATCCTTTATGAGAATCAAACTTAGTATTAGTCTTAATCTGTAAGAAAAATGTGTTACTTTTACATTAATAGTTAGCACATATTATAAAAGGTATTTATATATATTTATTAATATAATTCTATTCTAAAATAATATATATATTTATTTTTGTTATCTTTTATAAATATTAAACGTCAAATATTTTTTTTATATATCATTATTATCGATTTTATATAAAAAAATATAAAAAAACTATTGTTAAAATACCTGAATTCAAAAATGGTAACCTGGAATTGAACCGGTGCCCTTCGACTTCATTATTCTATCATTAATTCATCCGAGCTACCGGTCGCACTTTTTATGATATCGAAAATGCAGGTTAGTTTATAACTTTTATTATTGTCTATTATTAATTATTGACGCCATCTTTTAATTGGTTTGCTGGACTTGACTTAGATGGCGCTTTATTAAGTCCTTGGAAATCAGAAAATTAACATAATTTATGTGTATTTGAATATAAATATATTATTGTTTCTTAATTATTATTTTAACCATTAAAAACCTTATTGTGTGCCTCTGCAGTGTAAAGTATTGAAGCTTTGCAGGGTTATTTTCATTTAAAAGCAGCGCCATCTAGTTATCAATGGTAGCGTTATGCAAAACCTGTCAGTCAATAGTCGACCTTAAGCTCTCCATGCATTTTTGTCACCCTTAGTACGTGAATAATCTGATACCAACCTGACTTTAAGGAGCTCCTGTGCGATCCCAAGGCCCCTGTAATCAGGGCATACAACAAGCCCCCTATCACTAAAGCAGGGGTCTAAATTGAATACTTTCTCTTCATCGAAAATTTGAGTTAAGCCATCCACTATCTCCATGAGTTTCTTCATTTCTTCCGATTTGAATTCCATCTGAAATAAAAATAAAAACGATCTTTAGTGTCTGTTATAATGTATCTTTTTTGTTTTTTTTTTTTTAATATTAGTAAAAACGTTGCCCCACACTACTAGGATTTTCTCCTGTGTCGTGGGTGCGTTTACAAACATACAAATTCACATACACAACACACCCAGACCCGAAACAACAATTTGTGGATCACACAATATGTTGTTCCGTGCGGGAATCGAACCCGCGACACGTTGCACAGCAGCCAGTTGCCCAGCCACTGCGCCAACCGTGCAGTCGTATGTATATTTTATTTCCGGTAGTATCAAACTTTAAAATTATAGTTTTGTACCTTGACGAATATCTCATGTTAGTAAAAAAACAGTTTGTATGGAAAAGAAAATCGACAATTTTATATCACTCTCAGCTTTTGAACCTTGTCTCGTTTTTCAATAATTAGAATATATATTATCAAGAACACAGTGAACCGTATCAGTCTAGCCTTTTTCGAGTAATTGGTTTGTTAGTTTTAGCGAGACTAAGAAACAACAATTAATTTTATATAAAAGATTAATTTGAAAATCAAACACCTTCATTCAAACAAGCCCATATTGCATTAGCGTTTCATTTTTTTACAACAATTAAATATGATTTTACCTTTGGTGGTGGTTCGGTTTTTCTTACTAACGTCATTATAGATACCCCTAAGACTTCAATATTGTCATCGTCTCCGTTATCGTAACAACAAACAGTAACCTGTGGTTTCTCGTTCCCCGCACTATTTAGAACAAATTCTGTTATTTCTTCCATTGCTTCTTCACTTTCTGGAACCTCTAAATAAAAATAAAAATTATAATAAGCAATTTTAATTATTTATCTTTAAGTTTTAAATAAAAAAATATTATAAGTTTCGTGAGACATTTTATGTTTATGTTTATTATGTTTTCGACTTATTCACGTAATATTTTGACGAGATACTCGACTAGTTTCAAGCCATGCTAGAGCCATATTCATGAGCAGCATTCCGCGACACGCGACGCGGCGACTGTCGCGCTGCTGCTAGCAGCAGTACAATTATTACGTGAGTAAGACGAAAACATAATAATTAATGTAAATAAAATTGTTTTTTTAGTTATAATATGTGTAAATAATTTCATTTTTAATCTCTGAAAACGTGACGTAGGTACTAGGCAAAGGAAAATATGAATTTTCTTTTAAATTTATGTAACAATTAATATATTATTTGAAGAAGAAAGTTATTGCGAATCAACTTACTTGCAGCAATGAAAGTATTTTCCTCAATTACAAAATACTGAAGATAATATTTTAGAACAGTTTCGATCACATTTGATTGCAAAGATACTTCCACTATGCGTAAATTGAGAACAGTGCCATCTTTTCTAGTCACTGAGAACTTAGACCACACTTTGAGAACCCCAGACATTTCTAATAATTTATATAAATTAGTTTTTTATTAATTGAACATCACTATTGAAAGACGGTCAGTGTTACAATTGCCACTGATTTTGATACCCATTATAAGCCCGGAATCTTATCAGTGACTAACGATTATTTGATAATATGAATCCTCGCTTTTGTAATGAGACAGTGTAGAAAAATTTATGATACCTAGCAGGGTTTTTCCTATTTTGTATCATAACATAATATAATCGTATCGTAAGACACCGCGTTAAGAAATAAAGATAGTCGACTTGTACAATCACAATAATGGTACCCTGTTATAGCATCGGTAAGACTCCTCTTTAAGGAGACGCCATGGCGTCTTCATTTTCCGCTTGATGCAAGTGCTTACCGGGCACGGAAGTTTTCGTAGGTTCCTATTTCGGATCCGGCGTTAGATACTCCCACATAATAGAAGGGACTAAATGATACAACAAAGGATTCCATTGTGAAACTGATTGAAAAAGAGTAAGTAACCATGCAGTTTCTTGCTCGTTCTTCTGCATACGAATCTAAACTTTTGGAACGAGCAAATAGCTCATTAGAGCACGACGGATATACTGACACGCATAAAGTTGAACCTTTTGATATTTTTCCTTTTTTTTGCTTGACGTTCAAAAGTGCCTGTTGTGGTCTACTTGAAATAAATAATTTGATTTGAAAACGCCCGGTCGTCGTCATTGTGAAGACTACCTTGAGCACACGATAGAACATAGAGGATAGATCGTCGTTGGGATGGAGCATACAGTGGCGGTGTGACTGTTTGTGATCTGCAACCCCGGCTGGGTCAACTTCTTATGTTCGGTTTGCGTAGCTTAATGTGTAGTTGGATAAGATACTTGTAAAGGTTTCATATCGTAATTTTGCACCTGGACCCTTCAGGGCTTAAAAGGTGATTTAAGTGATGATGATGATGTTTGAGATAAGTCCACTAATGAGCTGGCGAATTTTACGTTAGCAATTGCAAGTCCGTTGCCAGTCTTTTGGGAGTTCAAGATTTAAGATCTTGGTGATTAGAGGATAGAGGTTAGGTGTGGAGAATGATTGGGCCAACGGTAACAAAAATCAAACAGTACGCGTCTTCTTTAAAAATATATTAATAAATACATTTCAAACAATCTATTTTACAAAAAAGTGTAAATAAAATACACATAAAGGTTACATGCATTTAATGTTTAGAAAATCAACCATCTATTTTTTTAACATTTTAAAATTGTATATATATATAAACACGTTATTTATTTATTTAGTTCTAGCAAACATATATTTGCATGAAACAGTGTCGGCGTCAAATTTGACTCCGCATTTTTGGCCAAGTTCCTCATATTTCACTTCACACGCCGTCTCCCAGCCCTCGTTTTCAGCAGCTTTCTGCAAGTCTTGCGTAGTCATCCAAGTTCCGATCAATGATATACCTCGTTCTTTACTAATTAATCGCCTAAAATAAAATGAAAATAAGTAAGTTTAAATATAAGTACTATTGACTAATCTAATTCTTTTAGTACGAATGGAAAACATGAAAGTGCCTTCTAAAGTATCCTCGCTACAACCCACGTCTTGCTCCCAAGCTGTTATGTCTTGTTATCATAATTTTCCCTTTTGTCATTAATTTATTGAAAAAATGCACTTGAAATTTGAAATTTAATAAAAAAAAATAACAAAAAATATATATATATGTCACCGGAAAATAACAAGATCCGTAAGTTTATCATTTTACTAGGAGGTTTATAAACTTTCGTAAGATTCTAAACGGGAGATAAATTGTAATATTTTACGTACACATTTTCGTAAATTGATAAACTTACTGAACTCACTCGTAAAATAATAAGTAAGCAGTAACCAAACGCTACGCGCGATCTGATTGGTTGGCTGTCACGTGCCACTTCTCCTTCCTCGCGGCCGCCATTGCTGGCCACGGAACATAAACAAACCGGTTTGCTATTGAAACTGATAATAAAAAACTCAACTGCCAGAGAGGAACCAGGCATTGTTGCTTCCAATTTATAGTTTGTCAAGTCTGATTATTCCAAAGTCTATGGTCACAAGCATTGCCACTATGAACATTGACCAATCAGAGAGCAGTGTGTTATTTTACGTATTTCAAAGATCGTATATTTAAAAAAGTTTCTGTAATTGGTCGAATCATATAAAATCTTACGAATAGATATTCGTTAGTTTATAAATTTACCGTATGGCGTCGGAAATTGATAAATTTATGAAAATGTGGACGTAAAATATTACAATTTATCTCCCGTTAAGAATCTTACGAAAGGTTATAAACTTCCTAGTAAAATGATAAACTTACGCATCTTGTTATTTTCCGGTGACATATATAAAAAATGATTCATTTAAATGTAAATCTCAGTAAATTATACGTTCAAAAATGTGTTGACACTATCAAATATAATTCTAGCTTAAGCGTAATGAGTCACCGTGGTCTCGGCCCAGAGCAGGAGAAGGAACAGGGGGGTTTTTAGTCAGTAAGAGTCTGACATTCTCTCTCGCCTTACCCTCGGCGGGAGAAGTCATTTGATGATTTTCCCCTGACAAAAAAAAAGTTGATTACCTAATAATCTAGGGTTGGTAAACAAACCTGACTTTAAGGAGCTCCTGCTCAACGCCCAGATTTCTGTAATCAGGACGGACAAACAGTCCTCTGTCACTGAAGTAACTGTCCAGACCAAACTCCTTAGCTTCATCGTAATAGGATTCCAGTCCAAAATATATTTCATATATTTTGTTCAATTCTTCTGCCTTGAATTTAAACTGAAAAATGTATTCGTAAATAACGATTAATGAGAAGTACAGTTTTGCACATCCGAAAAGAATACAGAATTAATAAATAATGTTTTGGTATCGATCGCTATACAAATGCGTTCTTGAGTTAATTTCCAGGTTAGAAATAATAATTTTAGTTGTTGTTGTTTTTAGTCGTTGTTCGATGTTTGACTTTTATCCTGTTTAATGGTAATAGGCTCAACCTCAATTTCATTCAAGCTGGTTTTCTGTAAGGCTGACTGACTTGACTCCGGTCTCGCCCAAGCATGAAAAAATTACTGCTTAAATTATGTACATTTAATAAAAGATAAAGTGTGACTCCAGTGAAATGTTACGTTGCATTAATCATAATAATTGTGACAATTTACCTCAGGCATGGGTTCTTCCTTTGTAACCAGCGCCATCATAGATGCTCCAATAAAATCCTTGATTTGACCATCTCCATGGTCCAAACAGCAGATTACAGCATGAAATCCTTTTTCTTTTGCAAAATCCAACATGGAAACACGCATTTCTTCAATTGCTTCTGGATTTTTTGCAATTCCTACAGGAAATATTATATTATTATTATATGTTCATCATTCATTTACGTTAAAACTACAGACCAAATCTGAATAAAATATGGTATAAAGAGAAAATATAATAGTCTGAAAAAAAAAACACTGTCACTACGGGAGAAACCGCTGGTAGAGGAATTAAAAGGCTTAAATTTTTAAATATGAAATACCTACTTGGAAATTCACAAATCATTTAGAGAAAGTTTATACTGCGATATTTAGTTCATGCCACACGTCATATTGATATACATTTAAGATTTAACAGATTGTGAGACGGTTTTAGATGATTATTAGTAATTGATTACATCTTTATTATAAAATTATGCTGCAGTACACTTACCAGCTGCTTTGCAAGCAAAATCTTCCTTTGCCAAATAATTGACATAAAAATTCATGACTTCAACAGTGAGATCTTCAGGCATGTCCACTACACGTAGATTGATGACATCACCTCCCTTGGTGACAGAAAATTTCGACCAAACTTTTGAAGCCGACATAATGCTGATTAGTTAATGGATCACAACAGAAAATTGTTAAAATAAACAAATTTATTTTCACTTTTTGTTTTACAGATATTGTGGCGCGTAAATAAGATTTTAATCAAATTAATTTGTTGTGAGTAAAGTTTTTGTTTGGACGCAATTTCGGTTAGTTTCCACAGTAACAATGTTAAAACTGACTACGAGTGTCTCATATTCTTGTTTATATAATTAGCATTTCAATGCAAGTTATCTAGTTATACTAGTTACAGCTTAAGATAAAATGTAATTTTTATTACCTTGATGTCATCGGGGAAAGTTTGTGATTGTCCCTCATTATGGGAAATTTTAACAAATAAATGATTAAGCATATTATGTTTCGTAACTTTTAAGTTTGGGGGAGACTTGATTCGGCTTGAATTAATCGACTCGATCCGAGTGATACCACGGACTCCCAGAAAACGAGCACGAAACATCAACAGCATCAACAACTGGAAGTCCAACCCCCATCCTTCCCCATCCCCACCCGTCTTCCACAATCCTTGAATCCCCAAAACTCCTTATACCCACAATTCTAGCAATGCGCTTGCAAACTCTTAGGTGCCACAGGTAATCGTTAAAAAAAAATATATTTATTTAAGATGAAAAAAAAACTTCGTCATTTTGATTTGTGACTAAAATAAACATGATATACTTTATGACTAACTTTGTACAGATTGATAAAGAGATAAAGTATGTATATTGTTTGTAATTAGATTTCCCAGATGATAGTCATTTGTGTGGTTGGTTTTTTAAATTGTTTACAACCGCTATTAACTTGCATGACTGTACCACATGGCGATTCTTGAACGTTTGCACAATATTTATCTTCGATATTCATAAATTAGACATGAATTGTAAATTCATTTTCAAAAATATAAAATATTCTTTCTATTTTAAATATAAAAATATCGTTAAAGATTTTCCTTTGTTATAAGAATTTTCCAAGTCTTTTCCGATATTGGAAACTCGACCCTCTGCGACAGCACAAATTTCACTTATTATTATGATCGTTACATAATCGAATAACCTAATCCAACAAGATAAAAGAAATAATATTTATAGTATATCGACGAAAAGGTCGCTTCCAATACAGAATTCGCGCTTCGGGTGAGGATTTAACGATATCATTCGGTTTGTTTGTTTTCAATTAATGGGAGAGCTGTGAAACATGTAAACACAAACAAGTGAGATTACTTATACAAGATCTGTAACAAAGACAGCTCTAACAATTTTTATACTGATGTTATTTTCCCGTTTTCTGGAAGTTTCGACATGTTGCTCTTCATAATGTGGTTATTATGCGGCCGATTTATGTTGGTATGTTTGTTGAACTTACACACATACAAATAAAAAGTAATAAGTACTTCTTAGGTACATGTAATACAAAGAAGGTTTTACATTTGTGACACTGTGACCCATTCAGACAAAGTTGAACGAAAATATTTTTCTTGGTGAAAAAAGGTTAGATATCAGATAAAAACATGTATGTAATCCTCTAAAGACGGCAGGTGTTGCAAGCGCGGCGTATCAACAAAATCTTGACCTGTGTCAGCATTTTCTGCAATTACCCCATCTCTGAGCTCTAAAGTCAGCTTGATATCGTTAATAGATAACACTTTAAGATAAGCAGTTCCCTTGAAGAAAAGATAAGGACCCTTGAAACTTGAACTTGGAGATTTTGGAGGTTTAACGATCTTGAGATTAACTCATTGCACATTGTTCAATATCTAAAGCAGAGCCGTAAAGGACTTTTGTTTAGTTAGACATATTATGGCGCATAGTTAGATGATATGATTGGTTGATTAATTTTAATGTTGACTGGCAGAAAATGCTTCTAGCATTAAGTCCTCCGCTATGCAATTGTATATAAAGAATAAATTAATAAATAAATAAATGTGGTCTCAAAAATCATAAAAAACGCATTATTATGTAGGTTTGTAATGTAAAAATAAAGCTGGGATTTCGAACCTGGGAAATGCCATTGTAACTTTTTGTAAGTTATATTATGTAAGTTTGTCTTTCGAAGATTATTTAGACACCACTGTCAAACTGCGAAGGAAAAATTAAAATCGTAAATCTTGCTCTGAACTTCATTATGTATGAGAGAGATAAAGAGGCCTTTGCTTAGCAGTAGGCACTTATACATATTCTTATACATAGATGACGAATAATATCTAATTAACACCAAAGCCTTTCATTTTCTCCAACCAAATATTTGCCAGCAACATTCCTTGATCAAGCTAGGACTTAGTTAAATAAATTGTTATCCTTTGATCTGTCTCGAGTGGTTTATTACTTTGATTTTATTGCTGTCTCCGTTTTTATTATTAAATGCCAACGAAAAACAAAATAGATTGTTTTGTCACAATTACTTTTGTCACAATTTCTGCGAAAACTAACACTCGGCGATATCAAAATATAATTTATTGTCTTCAATTCTAGATCTTAGGTGACCTTACTGGCTAGACTAGACGCAATTATATCTAGTATTAAAATATTACTGAGGCAATTCTTAATCTCACTCAGCCCTTTTAGTATAATTGCAAATGGGAGGTCTTCCTTGCTTAATTGGCAATTGGACTGTGTCATAGCAATTACAGATATGTTAGATAAGGTTTATATTGGTTTCTTGAAAATTATTTAATTGTTAAGGATTTTGAGAGAAAAACTGAAAACAAAAGACAATCCGACTTTGTTTTTTCTGAGACAGAGTTGTACCAATTGTTACTACTATGTGTGTGTTTAAATACGAAGTCTGTCTTGGTGTCTTAGAGGTTAAGACATCCACATTTCATGCATAAGGGTGCGGATCCGAAACCTGGCAACTACCAATATCACTTTTTCGGAGTTATATGTACTGTTTGATGTGGACAACATAGTGAGGAAACCTGGACTTATATATAATTCTTAATTTGGCCACCTTGAGCAAGCGTGGTAATTAACCATACCACCATATACCAGTATAATTATATTATTCTATATATATATAAATATTTATTTATTTTAGAGTTTTTGTTGTATTTTTAAATCTTAATTTATCTTCTCAAAGTTCTCTTCTTGTTGCACCTACCATACTCTCTCTGCATCACCCTAAGGTTGACTGGTGAGAATGCCTACGGCATTAAGTCCGCCTTTGTAATGTTTTGTTGCATAAAGTTTAAATAAAATAAATAAATAACCTTGTCCGTGTGGGAAGAGGCCTTTGCTCAGCAGTCGGCACTTATTTCTGATGACAATTCTAGAACAACAATGTGAAAATAAAAATCACAGTGTCAATGACCTACTACGTTCTTTGCCCACTTCATTCCGTCTACTCTTTCACACTATTTCATCTATTTCATTAGTTCTTTACACAACAGGCTTTCTCACGCCATATATTCTTGGGACCTATCTTAAGAAAAATTGTCAGTGCTTAGTATGAAACAATATAACCATCCTGGCTCACAAGCCGTTACATTATCATCGTAATAATAGTTTTATTTACACAATGATCACCAAACTGTGGTATTTTATGAGTGTCGATGTTTGTTATAAAACTATATAAAACATTCTTCTACGGAATAAAAGCCGGGAAGTTCTACGAAACAAATGATAGTGTTATTTTTGTTCCCTTTTTATTGTTTTCTACGTTTTGTTTTATTGCTGCGTGTATTTTTGTAGACTGCCAGGTCTTACTTTTCAAGTTATTGTTATTAACTTTATTTTATTGTTGATATTTATAGTACGACAGTAGTGGCTGCTCTTCTTACTACTATTATTAATATTTCTTTTTCGTGTTACTTTTTTGAATGAGTGAAGCTTATTTATTTGTCATTATACATATTATTTTTTTCTGTATTCTTTATTGTATATATCATAAAAAATTTAAACACAAGGAACAGGCTTACAACCACAGAGTGTACAATGGGCGGTCTAATCACACACGATTATTTTTTCCAGGCAACCTTTGGATAGAAATTATAAAGTGAACTGGAAATGGGCAGTCTAGTGCATAATAAATTATTAATAAATACGAAAAAAAACAAGATAAATTACGTATAAACTTACATACAAACTTATATACATACATAAAAATTAATATTATATACATATTAATTACAAGAATGCAAACGGATGCTCAGCTTTAGGTTCCTCGATGATCTCAAGGACCTCGAATGTACCATGACCACATATTTCACATCTACAAAAGATGATAAAAGAATGTGCTTCTTAAATCACAAAACTATAAGTTATGTGAAACAGCATGTACCTAACATACAAGCAGGTCAAAGGCAGTCACCTCTAACAGCAAAAAGGACCTTAGAGGAGCATAAACTGGGTGCAAAAACAATAATTATCTATCGTACCCGGGTACCAGGGTCTCATGAGATGACGAGGGTGCGATCTACTTTAGATAGAAGGCCGTGTGAAAAGAGAACGTGCCCCCGCACTAAAGCTTCCAGAGAAATAAAATCATAATATTTGTTTGTGTTTTGAAGTTTCTGATTGTTAAGGATTGTGGATGTCTTGGGGTGTGAAAAAATATGGATCTTTTTCAGATATGCGGTGGCTTTGATGGTGCGTTGATGTCCCTACCAGATTATTATTATTATAGTTTATTATTCATCAATTATTAGCGATATTTATTTCTGTAATTAACAAGATATTCAATGGGCATAATAAATCTTGTAGTCTTGTAGAGAAAGAAACGATCTTTTACAACTTTTTAGGATGAATTAATACGAAAGCTCTTAACCAAAAGTACCTTCAAGTACTGATCTTATGTATCTACAGCTAGCAAACACATAAAAAAATGTGAAAGAGGTATTATTTTTTTTTTGCCTGTTAATTGGCTAGGCGAAATTTCATGAGATAACTTCATTATCATTATTACTAAGGTTGATAATTGCATATCGTTGTTATATCCTTGATGCGTTTATGGAGTAGGTACGTTTTATTTACACCTAATCTTTTTTTTTTTTTTGAGATTTGTCTAATTGTTAAGCTTTTTCAGTAAGTTATGGTCATTCCTTCATTCCTTCTCGCCCCATCCAGGGCGGAGGAAACCATTTGATAGCCCTTATCTACCTTAAAAAAACTACACACTCAACGCTAATACATTTACATACATTTCATTTGACTTATCAATCGTAATTGAAATATAACCCTTACGACCACGAGCTTGTCCAGTACGCAATTATTATGAAGTCATAGTCCAAGCCACAAAGATTAAAAAGGTTCTAAAATAAAAATGTAAATAAAACGAGTGTGGTTTGGTCGACACGCGTCATGAT